CACCCTCTCCACTCTCTCTCCTCCTCCTCCTCCTCCTCCTCCTCCTCCTCGAATCGAATCGCCGCGCTCAGACGTCGTCCGGGACCAGTCCGGCGTCGATCGTCGGTCCCCAGTACCCGAAGTCGTTGAACTCCGAGTTCTCCCGCGGCCCCGGCGTCGTCGCCGCCTTCGACGGCGACGGCGTCCCGGGCCTCGCGCCCGTCGTCGTCGAAGGCGACGTCGGCGAGCGCAGGAGCTCCGACGGCGACTTCTGCGGCGAGGTCGGCGGCGACCGGTCGGTCGCGCGCGCCGCCGGCGACGCCGTCTCCACCCCGTCCGAGTCGTCGTCGTCCGAGTCGACGAGCAAGACGTCGTCGTCGTCGTCCGCCGCCGCCGCCGTCGTCGTCGCGCCGAACGGCCCGCTCGGCACCGCGATCGTGTCCGCGTCGCCGTCCACCTCGTCGTCCTCCTCGGAGGAGTAGTCCTTCAGCGTCAACGACGCGAGACGCGCGCCGGCGTCGCCTTGGAACAACCCCGCGGCACCGCGCGCGCGCGCGCCGCCGCCGCCGCCGTCGCCGTCGTCGTCGTCGTCGAGCTCCTCCTCCTCCTCCTCCACCTCCTCCTCCTCCTCGTCCTCGTCGTCCTCGTCGTCGTCTAGACCGGTCGCGTACCTGTTATACACGTCCCTGCTGAACCCGCCGCCGCCCAGACCGAGGTCGAAGTCGCGGTCGTCGTCGTCCGACGCGCCCGCGCCGTCGTCGTCCATCCCTGCCGGCCGGCCGCACTGCCACTTGAAGACGTTTTCGATGGCGTTCCTCTCGCGCAGCGCGCCCTCCTCGAAGCTCGCCCACCTCGCGTCCGCCGCGAGCGCGGCGCGCACGAACGCGGTCACGCTCTCGGGAACAGGCGGCGTGATCGTCGGCGGCTCCGACGAGATACCCGCGCCGCCGCCGTCGGCGTCGGCGCCGTCGCCGTCGCTCCCCGCGGCGGCGGCGCGAAGCAACTTGTTCGCGATGTTCGTCGCGTGCCCCAAGTTGCCCGCGCGAATCGGCCCGCGCTTCGAGTCCACCGTCTGCGGCGCGCACGCCACCAACCCGATCACGTCGCACCCGCCCTCGTCGACGGGCGCGAACAGCTTCGAAAGCAACCCCTCGTGCCCCCACTCGAGCACGCTGCTCACCATGCTCTCCACGTGATGATGCAGAAAGTTGTTGAACGGGTACGCGCGGAACAGGTTCGCGCACGTCCGCAACGCGTCGCACGCGATCACCGCGTCGGCGACGGCGGCGTGCTTCGACGCCAGCAACGTCGCGATCACGTCCACGATCTTCACGCGCTTCAACCCCAGCGGCGGCGACATCGCGCCCCACGTCGTCCGCTGCTCCGAGATGTCGCACGTCGTCTCGAGCGCGGCGGCGAGCTTCGGCAACGCCGCCGCGCACGCGAGCGTCGCGGTCTCGGGCGCCTCCCTCGGCGGCTCCGGCTCCGCGCCCGACTCCATCGCGAGGAACGCCTGCATCGCCTGCGCGGGGCCCTGCGCGCGCTTGCCGTCGATCACGCTGATCGCGATGTCGAGGACGTTCACCAGGGGCGACGCGGACGCGCCGCCGTGCGCCGTCGTCGGCGTCGGCAGCCCGCCGTCGCCGTCGTTCAGGACGCCGTAGCCGCTCGACGACGTCGGCGACGACGAGAGCCCGCGTTCGAAGAGCTTCGTCATCGACGCCGTCTCCGCGAGTTTAGACGCGAGCGCGGACGGCGCCGCGCGCGCGATGCCGACGAGCACCTCCGCGGCGTTCGCCGCTCTCGACGCGGAGGTGTCGCCCTCTCTCTCTTCGCCGCCGTTAACGCCGCCGTCCGTCGTCCCGAGCGCGTCGAGGAGCCCGTCGAGGAGATTCGTCTCCGCGAGCCACTCATTGCCGTCGTCGCCGCCGCCGCCGCCCACGCCGCCGCCCAACCCTCCCATCATCCCCATCCCCAACATGTTCATCGGCATCACGCCGTCGTCCGCGCCGACTAAACGCAGGAGCACCTCCGCGATCGCGAGGACGTCCACGCGTCGCACCAACGCGTCGACGAGATTTTCATTCTTCTTAAAAAACGCGACGCACTCGCCCCTGCGCCTGGACACGACGCACGACACCGTCTTGCTGAAGAAGCCCGCGAGCATCGGGTTCAGGGCGGCGCCGTCGTCCACGTCCACGAAGGACATTATCCGCGCGAAGAGCGCGCAGTCATCGTCCATCAGCGCGTTGAACACCGCGTCGATCTCGCAAGAAAAGATCTCGCACGCGAGGTACGGGTATTTGAACTCGCGTCGCGCGTCCGCGTCCTCGGGGGGCGCGTCGACGAGGTAGCCGACGAGCTTCTCCACGACCGCGCGCGTCTTCAGGCTGCGACGACGGGATGGGGAGGACGGGGAGGGGGAGGGTCAGCGGGGCGACGGCGATCGATCGGGCGGGCGGCGGGAGAGGAGAGACCGCGGGCGGATCGACGACCGATCGTCGCTCGTCGCGTGCGCCCTCATCGGCGGTCGTCGTCGTCGTCGAGCGACGAAGGATCGATCGAGGCGCGGCGCGAGCGATCGAGGCGCGTCGAGAGCGATCTGAGTCGACGGAGTCACGCACAAGTCCACGAGCCGCGAGTTCAGGCTCTTGCACTCCTGGATGAGGTCGTCCTCGTCCAGGAGGTCGTCCAAGGTGAACGACTCGCGGTCGAGGATGCCATCGACGGGCGACGCCTGCACGATCCCCGGCGAGCGCCAAAACATCGCGACCGACGACGCGCCGCGCCTTCTCCCTCGAGATCGCGCGCGAGGACGCCTTCGACGCGCGATCCGATCGCGGGCGCGCGATCTGAGCTCCGCGTCCGTGCGCTTCTGCTGCGCGTCGGAGGTCGCGTGTGCACGCGCGAGGCGCTCTGCGCCGCGCGACGCCGCGACGCGTCGCGTCCGGGCGGACGAAACCGAGGCACTCAACGGGCGAGGCGATGAGACAGCGCGACGAGTATAGGAGGCGGGGCGAGCGGAGAGTTCGACGAAAATTTTTCTGCGCTTCTCTCCCAAAGACAAGGCGAACTACTCGACCGCGACGACGGACGCGCTAAAAGCGCGCGCCCTCACCGCTTCCCCTTCAACTTATCCCTCTTCTCGATCAACTTCCCCGGGACGCCGTACCACGACGTCATCACCTCGCACGCCTCGGTCACTTTGTTCCCCCCGAGCGTCACCTCGCTCTTTCCCTTGTTGTTCTGCCCTTCCAAGTCGCTCACCGCGCAGCTCGTCGCGAGCTTCGCGCTCAACGTCTGCGACAGCTCTACCGCGTCGATCAAGTACGCCTCGAACCCGGTGACTTTCGTGACCTTCTTCGGCCCCCGAGTCCCGCTCTCGATCCGCACGGGCGCGAGCTCGCCCTTCCTCGTCGCCTCCTTGCCGCCGCGCCGCACGGAGATTTGCGGGTGGAACCGGTTCGTCCACGCGGCGACGACGTCGCTCGCGCTCATCGACGTCGGGTAGACGTCGCCCTTCTTCAGAACGCCCTTGAACAGCGCGTCGCACAGGGTCGGATCGAGGACGACGTGCCCGGGCGGACACGGAGCCACCGCGCCGCCGTCGCCGCCGCGATCCAAGCCGCGAAGCGCGACGTACGCGTCCACCACCTCTTTCGCTCTCTCCGCCGTGTACAGTCCCTCGTACGGATACGAATACGAATACGAATCGTCGCCGCCGCCCTCCGATGATTCGTTCACCGCCGCGAACACGGCTCTGATCGCGGTCGACGAGCCGGGCTTCAACACCTTCGAGAGCGTCAACTTCGCGGGCTTCGAGCCGCTCGCGTCGTCGCGCGTCGCCGCCGCCGCCGCAGCGCCCTTGTACTCGTCGGGCGTCGCCGACGCCTCCGCCTCCGCGGCGGCGGCGACGCCGTCCGCCGCGTCGCTCGCCGTCTCGTGCTTCGCGTGGTTCATGATGTCGTCGTGCGCGCGGTTCACACTCGTGACCGCCATCTCCTTCGTGTGCTTGTCCTCCTTTACCGTGAGCCACCCGAGTTTCGACTTGACCTTCAAGAGCTTGCTCAGCTTTTTGTGCGTCGACGCCTTGACGTCGAGCGTCCTCCCCGCGCCCGCGAGGCGGCACGGGACGACGTGCTGCGCCCACAGCGCGGACCCCAACAGCGGGAGCGCGTGATCCTTCACGCTGTGCTTCAGCGCCTGGAGCAGCGCGCGGTCGATCAGGGCGTCCATGTCGAGAGAAGACGCGTCCTCCGAGACCGTCATCGCGGCGACGCCCGCGGCGGCGGCGGCGGCGGCGGCTTCGCTCCTCCCCGCGGCCGGCGGGGCGCCATCTCCCTCGACGTCCTCCTCCTCCTCCCCGTCGCTCATCATCCCTCCCTCTGCAATTTCTTCTTCTTCTCCCTCGTCTTCTTCCTCATCCTCCTCCCCCTCGCTCTCCTCCACGGGCCGTCCGCGCGCGTCCACCGCGGACACCACCTTCTTCCCGAACCCCGCGTTCGGCGCGAGCGTCGGCCGCGACGGCTGCGACGCCGCGACGTCCCACAGCGCGTCGCGATGCGATGTCAGGATCTTGAGGAACCGCCCCTTCCCGCCGTTCTTACCGCCACCACTCCGCGCGGCGGCGACGTCGTCGGAGCTCATCTCCGCCTCGCCGATCGCGATCGGCATCGGATTACCCGGCACCGCCACCGCGAAGACTCGCCCCGCGGGGAACGATGCGTTCCTCGGCACGACCGCCCCCGGGAGCATCAGGTCCGCGCCCTGGAGGATGAACCTCGACACCGGCGCGCCGACGAGCGCGATCGGCGGGCCGAGCAACGTGGGAACGCGCCACAGCGCGAAGACGGTGAGGTGGAAGTCGCCCTTGCCGCTGACGTCGTAGACGATGGGGTGTCCGTCCGCGATGACGATGTGCACGCGCGACGGCGACGCCACCTTGGCGAGCGATAGCTCGGATTTTTTGGGGATCAGGAGGTCGACGTCGTCCTCGGACGCGCCGAAGCGCTTCTCGAGCGTCTTCTTGAGCTTCTTCACGTCCGCGCCGCCGAGCTGGAGGAGGGAGGCGGAGGGGAGGACGACCGGATCGCGTTCAGTTAGTTTTCGGGGGGCGGGGCGAGGCATCATCGCGTCGAGTCGATAATCGATAATCGATCATCGATCATCGATCGACGGCACCGCGCGTCGTCGGGGAGGACGGACGCGCGCGCGCACCTTGTGCGTGCTCGTCAGGGTTAAGGGTTTGCGGAACATGGTGGCGGAAATCCGACGCCCGCGCGTCGACGCCGGGAGCGGGAGGTGCGACGCCGCTTCTGATTCGATCGAAGTTTTTCGACGAACGAAGTTTCTCTGTCTTTTTTTCGTTCCGTCCGAGTCACTCCGCGTCGCACCGCGTGTCGTCCCCCCCCCCCCCCACGCCGTCTTCGAACGATGCACGCGTCGACGCCGTCGTTCCGCATCGCGGTCGCGTCGCGCGCCACCTCGCGCGCGCGAATCGTCGCGCGCGAATCGTCGCGCGGGGTCCGCGCGTCGTCGTCGTCGTCGACGACGCGCTTTTGCTTTTTCAGCAGAGGTCTGCGCGAAAAGCGCCCCGCGCCTCGGCCCTCGTCGTCGGACGACGCGCGTCGTCTCCTCCTCCGCGGACGCCGCCGCGGGGACACCGCGCCGCCGCCGCGCGCGAAGCGAGAAGGTAAAGGCGATCGCGACGACGGCGCGCCCGATTTCGACGCGTCCTTCGAGCTCTCCTACGACACGGACACCATCGACACGGACTCCATCGACACGGACTCCATCGAAGTCGACGTCGGAGGGACGATGGACGAGGGATCTGTCGACGAGTCGAACGACAGCGGCGACGACGACCCCCGAGACGACGACGCGCCGCGACGCGCGGCGGTGAGGAAGACGTACAGCAGCTTCGAGTACGCGTTCGTGCGTCTCACGCTGTTCCTCACCGGCGGGTTCGTCCTCACCGGCGTCGTCGCGTCGCTGACGCTCTCGGCGTTGTTGTTCACGATGGGCATGCGCGAAGTGGCTGGAGGTGCGTTCCTTTCACCCACCGCTCATCGGTTTCAACATTTGATCGCTCCTCCTTTCAACTGACCGATGAAAAACCTATCGCTCCGTCACTCAGACGCGGTGACCGCGTGGGCGACGAATAACCCGGTGGAGCTCGTGACCGCGGCGGTGGGCGCGCTGGACCGGTTCCTCCTCGGGATGGTGTGCCTGGTGTTCGGCTTGGGGAGCTACGAGCTGTTTTTGGCGCGGTCGAACCGCGAGGGGGAGATTCGAGACAAGCGCCTGAAGAAGCTGAGCTGGCTGCGCGTGACGAGCATAGGTGCGTTCTATACACTGGTTCCCATACGACCGCGTTCGCGTGGTGAACGCCGATCCTTAAGGACTTTGCCCGTCGTCTCTCTCCGTCCAGGGTCCCCCGCTTTCAATCCCCGTCCTCGGCGTCTTTCAACTTCAACTGACGCCTTTCAACTCCACCCCGACGAGCATAGACGACTTGGAGCAAAAGGTTGGCGAGATCATCGTCGCGGTGATGGTCGTCAACCTGCTCGAGATGTCGCTGCACATGAAGTACGCCGTGCCGCTCGACTTGGTGTGGGCCGCGCTCGCGGCGTTGGCGTCCGCGGGCGCGCTCGCGCTGTTGCACTGGAGCAGCGGGCACGATAAACACAAGGGCCCAGGGGGCGAGGGTTCCGGCGCGGGCGCGCACTGACGACTTCATTCATTCAAATTCATTCCATCGCAATAATGTCTTCCCGTCGCGACGTCAGTCATCGCGACGACGGCGCGCCCTTCCTGTCCTCGTCCGTGCTCCCCCCCAGACTCCCCGTGCTGTTCACCTGGTCCTCCAGCCGGTCCTTGTAGCTCCGGTCCTGCGGTCGGTCGGTCACGCCTCGCCCTCCTCCGCCCGCGTCGTCGCCGCCGCCGGCTGCGTCGCCGCCGCCGCCCTTCTTCGAGTTTTTCCCCGTCGACGCGTCTTCGAAGATGTCGTCCCTGATGAGCGTGTGCAGACGGTCGAACAGCTCGCCCTTCACCTCGTTGAACGCCGCCTCCAGACGGTTCAGCTCCTGCGTCGCGTTCTTGTTGTACATGAACAGACCGTAGTACAGATCGAACGAGTCGTTGTACGTGTTGTTCACCAGACTCAGCAGACTCTCGTACCCTTTCGTGTTGATCGTCGTCTCCTTCATCTCCATCGTGCCCAACATTCGACCCACGGTGTGCGTGATGAACTGCGACGACGCCGCCTGGATGTCGTGCTCCTCGCACGACATCTCGACCATGCGGCACCCCTCCTGTTCGAAGATGCCCAGCAGCCGGTCGACGCGGTCGCGGCGTTTTTTTTCCTCGCCGACCCTCACCTTGTCGTACACGCGTGTACAGGTGAACGAACGCGTCGGTCAGTCGTGCGTTTCACCGGTCAAACAAAACAAACGTTGAAAGGGAAGCGCGGGCGAAGCGCGACGACGACGACGGGGAAAGTCCTTAAGAAACGGCGTTCACATCGCGAACGGGGTCGTACGGGGACCAGTCTCACTCACCTTGTCGTACACGAGCGGCAAATCCTTCCAGCTCCCCTTCCCCGAGTCCGGCCCGAACATCGGATGCAAGCACACGATGTCGAAGTTTTCTGGCAGCTTCGTGAGGAACAGCTGCTTCGGGAACTGCTTCACGCTGAGGACGTCGCACACGAGCGTGTTTCGACGAAGCCGCTGCGTCGGAAACGCGTTTATCGTCGTCTCCGTGGAGAGGATGCTCGTCGCGAAGATCACCACGTCCGGATGCGCCTCGCAGAAGTCGTCCGGGTCTCGGTAGTACGCCACGCCGAGCTCGCTCGCCGTCGCGTAGTAGTCCCCGCGCGAGGTCGCGATGACGTCGTGGCCGCACTTCACGAAGCGCTTCGCGAGGAACTGACCAAAGTTGCCGAAGCCGACGATGCCGATGGTGAGCGTGCGGCTCTTCTCGATCTTTTTCCGCGCTTTGGACTCGAAGTCGAACGGCTGCGCGGCGTCGATCGCGCGCGGGGTGGTCGAGATCGGTTCGCGGCGGCGCGATGACGACGACGACGACGACGCCAACGAGGGCGTCGCGGCGACGAACGCGGACGACGACGACGCGTGCGCGCGAACGCGCTCGCGACGACGATGCTGACGATGATGCTGCTGATGACGACGATGATGTCGCGCGGCGGCCGTCGTCGCGGAGGCCCTCATCACAGTCCCTCGGGGCGCGGTGGACGACGTCGCGAGCGCGCGCGCCGGCGTCGCCGCGAGCGCGAGCGCGGGCGGCATGTTCGCGCGCGGTTCGAGACGCGACGCGGCCCTCGCGCGCGGGGGGGTATGCGCCGCCACCCGCGAGAATCGCCCGGGGAAAAGCGCGGGCGGAAAATCGCAATCGGTGCGTCGAGTTCCAGTGGTGCGCCATTGACGCCGGCGCGGACGATGTCGTCCGGCGGCGCGCGGCGGTTGCTCCGCGCGGGGGCGCGCGCGGCGTGCAACGCGCGCGCGCCGAGGTCGATCGAGCGATGGCGCGCCGCGAGCGGCGCGCGCGCGTGGGGTCTCGAGACGTCGCGCGGCGCGGACGAATGGGAAGACGCGAGATTGCGCTTCGGAGGGCGGTGGAAGCGATCGATCGGAGCGAGCGAGCGGCACCGTCGGTGGACGTCGTCGTCGTCGTCGACGACGACGACGACGACGCCCGGCGAGGACGGCGCCGACGCCGCGGTCGATAAGCCGACCGCGGGGGGGTACGAGTACGTCAACGCGCGCGGGAAGATGCAGCCGACGAGCGAGACGAGGCCGTCGCCGTCGCCCTCTTCGGACGCCGCCGCGGAGAAGGACGCCGCCGCGACGACGACGACGACGACGGCCAGGGAGGCGCCGGCCGACGCCGCGGAGAACGCGTACAGGGAGATCCTCGGCATCACGAGCCTGTTCACCGGACCGAACTCCGCGTGGTCGGTCGCGTTCAAGAGACGCCCGGGGTTCGAGCCGAGCGCGCTGGCGAGGCGAGAGGCGAATCAGTACAGGCGCGTCATCACGCCGCGCGTCCTCCGTCCATCGCCGCCGCTCGCGTCGTCGCCGCGAACCCTACCACGCGCAGCGAGCCCTAAATAAAACCCTACCCCCGAACCCTACCCCTCCCAGGTGCAAGTACTTGGACGGCCCCGCGTGGAGCTGCGGCCCGTGCCCCGCGGCGAGAGAGCGACCCGAAACGACGGAAGTCCCCGCCGACGGCGAATTTCGCCGCGCCGGCGACGTTACGTCGTGCAACTATGCGCGGCGCGCGACCGAGAGCGCGTGCGTGAGTAACCAGATCATCTTCTTCAGATTTTTCTACTCCACGACGTGGGTCGCGAGCTGGATAATCCTGACGCAGTACGTCGTGTCGCCCCTGTTGGGTCCGTTGCTGCCCCTCGTCTCGGGAACGCCGTGGATCAGATTTTGGATTTGTTTCTTCGCGGCGTACAAGTTGAACAAGCATCACGCGCTGCAGATGCCGAGGCTGATGTTCGCGATGCACGCGACGAGGCAGACGGGATGGCTCGTCGGCGAGCTCGTGGGCAATTTCAGACGCAGGCGGCGGTGGTTATGACGACGCGACGGACGGACGCGTCATTTATACGAGTACGTAGTACTTGCGTAGTTGCGAATCGTAATCGATCGAATGTAAGATCAAAACGCGCTTGTTGTCGTCGTCACGGTCCCTCCTCGCCGCCCGGCCCTCGCGTGATGACGAGCCCGTCGTCCAAATCCGGCCGCTCGTCCCCGTCCAGCATCTCCTCCTCGCGCTCCTTCGCCGGGGACACGCTCACGCCGACGGAGAACGACGCCCCCTCCGCGCCGTCCGCGACGGATCCGATGTTCAGCCCGCCGCCGCCGACGGCGAACGCGCCGCCGCCGACGCCTTCGACGCCCAACCCTCCGAGCCCGCCGCCGCCCTCGCCCTCGCCCTCCGCGAACACGCCGACGCCGTGCTTCTCCGCCTTGTACGCCAGCATCAGCTCCTTGAACGCGTCGAAGGAGGACAACGTCATGAGCAGATCGAACGCGTCGCCGTCGAGCTCGCCCGTGCCCTCTCTCTTCGCGAGCATCTCCGCGAACTCCGCCATGTCGAAGCCCTCCACGGCGGCGCCCAGGCTCGTCTCCATCGCGTCCTCCAGCGCGCTCGTGTACTCGTCGAACAGCGTCGTGTACTCGAGCTTGTTCTCCTCCGTGTCCTCGAAGACGTCGCAGTGTCGTCGCAGGAACGCGGACTGCGCCGCGGCGAACGCCTCGGACGCGAGCAGCTCCTCGAGCGCGCCGACGATGGCGTCGAACTTGGCCGTCTCCTCGTCCACGGGATCCTCGTTCGTGATCGTGAAGTCCGCGCAGTCTTCGTCCATCGCGCGCGCGCTTCCCTTCCTCTGTTCCTCTGCGCGGCGCGGAGGGAGGGGGGGGGAGGGGGAGGAGGAGGAGGAGGCGCGAATAAGAGCGACGAGCGACGCGCGCGCGAGATCCGCGATCGGTCGCCGGTCAAACGCGAGTGCCGAGCCGCGGGCGCGAGGGACGGCGGATCGATCGAGCGATCGCGAGGCGACGCGCGCGAGGCGACGCGGCGCGCGCGAGGCGAGCGTCGGGGGCGCGCGAGTGGGGAGACGAGACGACGCACCGAGAGAGTCGCCGCCGGGGGTGGCGTCCGGCGAGCGAGCGGGGGCGTTGTGGACTTCGCGATCGCGGTGCCGCTTCGAAAAACAGTTGTGTTCGAACCTACTTTCCCGTGAAAAAACGTTCATCGGTCAGTTGAAAGGGGGGGGCGATCAAATGTTGAAACCGAGCGTTGGGTGAAAAACGGTACTTTAGAACCAGCTTGTTGGGAGGCGGTCGGCCGAATCGATGCGCTTTTCGCCGAGGGATGGATGAGCATTCCAGCCTCGTCAGTTCGCGCGGCACGGAGCTGACGCGCGAGACAGCTCAGCGAGCCTCGGACGCCACCGCGATCGAACGCGCGAGAGTATCGAGGACTAAACGATGAGCTTCGCCATGACCGCGAGCGCGTCCGCCGCGACGGTGCGTCGCGCGCCTCCGTCTTCCGGCACCGGCGATTACGCTTTAACCGCATCGCGCGCTCAGACCTAGGGTTTCCTCCGCCCATCCATCGATCGTATCCGCGCCTGACCGTCTCCCTCGCTCCCGCTCGTCCTTCCCCTCCCCTACAGGGCCGCGCCCAGCCCGCGAGAATGGCCGCGGGCGTGCGCACGAAGGCGGCCTCCGCCGTCGCGCGATTGAGCGCCTCGAAGATCGACGCGAAGCGCGGCGGCGTCGCGGCGACGGCGGTGGCGAGCGGATCGCCCCGACTTCAACCGCGCGCGGAGATTTCTTCGATCGATCGATCGAAGAGAGGGGTGGGCGGCGCGCTCGCGAAAGCGACGAAGCCGCTCAAAGCGCTCGCGTGTGGCATCATCGGCGTCACCACGGCGTTCACGATCCAGCCCATGCACGCGCTGCAGCTCGCGTTCGGCGGCGGCGGAGGCGGGGACGCGAACGGCGGCGGCGGAGGCGGCGGAGGCGGAGAGAACAACCGCTTTTTGGGCGTCCCCGCCGCGCGCGCGGACGAGGACGAGGACGACGACGACGACGACGACGACGACGATGACGATGACGACGAAGACGACGACGACGACGAAGACGACGACGACGATGACGACGATGACGACGACGACGACGACGACGACGACGACGTCCCCCGCCGAAGAGCCAAGGACGGCAACTTCATCGTCGAGTCCGTGCTCGCGACCAACCTCCCGACCGGACCGGGCATCCCCACGAAAGCGGAGCTCTTCGGCGGGTTAAACGCGCGCAAGGGGAACGAAGTCAGCAAGGACGACCTCTCCGCGGACCTCGAGGCGCTCCTGAACACCGGCCTCTTCGCCAACGTGGACGCTAACGTCACGCCGAAGGGAAAGGATGGCTACGCGGTGGAATTCGTCTTCCGCGAGAAGATCTGGCCGGGGGTGCAAACGTTCAAGGTCAAGGGCGCGACCGCGCTTCCGCCGGAGATTGAAAAAGAGGTCCTGACGCAAGTCCGCAAGCAGTCGTCGTGCACCGTGCGCGTCCTCGCGACGATGAAGAACATCATCGAGGGGTACTACACGAGCAAAGGTGAGACTGGTCCCCATACGACCCCGTTCGCGTGGTGCACGCCGTTCCTTAAGGACTTTTCCCGTCGTCACTCTTCACCCGCGCTTCCCTTTCAACGTTTGACCGGTAAGACGTTCGACTGACCGATCGCTTCACCCACGCAGGGCTCACCTTTGGCACCATCTCGCACTTTGACGGGATGGAAACCGGCGACGTCATCGCGCACGTCATCGAGGGCGAGATCACGCGCGTCAAGGCGGTGTTCCTGGACGACCAGATGCAGCCGGTGAACCGCGGACGGACGCACCCGAGGGTGATCCAGCGCGAGCACAACTTCCAGGTTGGCAAGCTGTACAACGTCGAGGACGCGAAGACGGCGTTGCGGGACATTTTCCTCCTCCAGCTGTTCGACAACGTGCAGGTGGTCCCGAGGCCGGACGAGAGAGACCAGAGCAAGGTCCAGGTGGACATCATGCTCCGCGAGAGGCCGGTGAAGACCGCGGAGAGCGAGCTCGAGTGGAGCATCGCCCCGGGCGAGGGCGGGAAGCCGGACCTCGTGTCGATCAAACCCGGCGGGTCGGTGTTTTTCGAGCACCGCAACCTCGACGGGTGGGGGCGACAGCTGTACGGCTCCGTGTCCACCGCGAACTTCCTCCAGCCGCAGGACGACCTCGGATTCAAGCTCGAGTACCACCACCCGTACGTCCTCGGGGACGGCGACCCGGACAAGACCGGGTTCAAGACGTGCGTGTTCAACTCGCGGAAGCTGTCTCCCGTCTTCACGGGCGGGCCGCTCATGGACGAGGTGCCCGCCGTCTGGGTCGACCGCGCCGGGGCCAAGGCGACGGTGACGCAAAACTTCACGCGCCAGAGCAAGGCGACCGCGTCCGTGGTCGTCGAGGAGGTCACCACGAGAGACGAGAGCGGCGCGGTTGTTGGCCAAGGCGCGAAGCAAGGCGCCGGCGGAGCGCTCTCCGTCGACGGTCCCCCCACGACGCACAGCGGCACGGGCACCGACCGGCTCGTGTTCTTCCAAGGCGGCCTCACGCGCGATACGACGCACTTCGTGAACGGCACCCCGGTCGGCGCGCGCGACATCTTCAACGTGGATCAGTCGATCGGCCTCGGGTCCGGGTTCCCGATCTACAACCGATTCACCGCGGGGTGCACGCGTTTCATTCAGCTCGGAAAAGAGAGCGCGAAGACGTCGCGGCCGCCGCCGGTGCTCGTCGCGCACGCGCGCGGCGGCGCCGTCGTCGGCAACTGCGCCGCGTACGACGCGTTCACCCTCGGCGGCCCGCACAGCTGTCGCGGGTACAACGTCGGCGAGCTCGGCGCGTCGAGGAACTTTTTGGAGTACGCCGCGGAGATTAGAGTGCCCGTGCCGGTGCTGAACACGCACGCCTTTGCCTTTTGGGAGCGGTGCACGGACCTCGGGTCTTCCAAGGACGTGAAGGGGAACCCGACGGAGTATTACCGCCGCGCGGGGAGTGGGAGCAGTATGGGCGCCGGCATCAAGCTCGGGCCGGTGCGCGCGGAGTACGCGACGGACGGAAACCAGGCGAACGGCACCGCCTTCGTGCGGTTCGGCGAGCGGTTCTGAAGGACGCGGCGCCAGAGCTGGGCTGCATGCTTTGGGGGTGAAAAAATCAAACGGACGATCCAATTCAACCGTGAGAGGGTAAAACTAATGAATACTATTACAGACATCTACGCATCACGCTAAAACACCACGACGCGCCGCCGAGCCGAGCGCCGTCCGCCTACCTACGTCTTCAGCTTCGCCTTCTTCACGCGGTCCGCGATCCGCGCCGGGTCGTTCTTCTTCGTCGTGCTGAGGGTCGTTCCATACGAAGAGACGTCGGGGTGGAGTTCAAAGGCGTCAGTTGGAGTTGAAAGGCATCGAGGTGTGTCGGGATTGAAACCGTGGGGTGGGCGGAGAGAGACGCCGGCAAAAGTCCTTAAGGAATGGCGTTCGCCGCGCGAACGCGGTCGTATGGGAACTAGTGTGAATCAGAACGCGCCTGAACCGCCCCTTGAGCTCCTCCTTGTCCACCGCGCCGTCGTCCTTGACCACCTGCACCACGTCCTCGTCGCTCAGCGCGTGCTTTAACCCCACGCGCTGCCCCATGTGCTTCGCGCTCACGCCCCACACCTGCGCGTATTTCAATCCGCGCGACAGCGTGTTGTGTATCTGATCGCAGAAGTGTTTCACCGTGCACCCGCCGCGGTGGTCCGCGAGCACGACGGGCTCGTCGAAGTCGGGTTTTTGTCCCGTCTTTTTCGTGTAGACGCGGACCAAGCCCATGTCGTTCCACGTCCTTCGAAGGAGGTGGTCCATCCCGAGTTTCATGTGGCAAGAGATGCAGACGCTGTCCGGGCGGCGGCTCAGGGAATCGACCTCCTCGATCGTCAGCGCGTCGACTTTGTTGTACACGTACAGACACCGGACGTACTTGCGGTTGCCCTCCAAGACGTCGATGAACTGATCCACGGTGACGTCTTCGCGGAACAGCAACTCGCAGTGATGGATCTTGTACTCCGCGAGTATCTTCAGTATCGTGCTCTCGGACATCTTCGTGAGTCCGCCCGAAACGACGTTGTTCACCTGCACGCCGCCGCTGTGCTTCGGTTTGACGTAGACGCGCGGCGGCGTCTGGTTCAGCCGCAGTCCCACCGCCTCGAGCTCTCGCGTGAGGATCTCCTTGTGCGCGTACGTGCTGTTCGCCGCCTCGCTCTTCGTCGCGTCTAACACCATGAGGATCAAATCGCTGCTCTTCGCGACGGCGATGACTTGCCGCCCCCGACCCTTCCCCTCGCTCGCGCCCTCGATGATCCCGGGGAGGTCCAGCAGCTGTATCTTCGCGTCGTTGTAGTGGATGACGCCGGGGATGCACGTCAGCGTCGTGAACTCGTACGCCGCCACCTCGCTGTCCGTCCCCGTGAGTTCCGTGAGCAGCGTGGACTTCCCCACGGACGGGAACCCGATGAGCGCGACGCGCCCGTGGCCGTACTTGGACACCTCGAAGCTGTCCTCGTTCGAGCCGCTCGTCTTGGACGGCGCGAGGAGCTGCGTGCGGAGCTTGGCGAGCTTGGACTTTAAGATGCCGAGGTGGCCCTCCGTCGCCTTGTTCTTCTGCGTGCGAGACATCTCGAGCTCGATGTCCTTGATCTTCTCGAGGATCCCCATGGCGACCGACGGACGACGACGACGAGGAGGAGGGTGGGCGACGCGTCGCGCGCGGAGACCGCGCGCGCGAGTGTGGACGGCGGGGCGGATCTCACCGCGCGGTCGATAACAAAAAAGCTAGGGCAAGTCTCCCACTCTCGCTCTCCTACAGGCGGTATCTCCTCTCGTCCCCTGTCCCGTCCCGTCTCTACCGCAGCAGGTTGCGCGTGATCTGCTCCTTCGCCATGTTCAGCGCCTGCGACAGCGTCTGCTCCGCGAGCGGCGGCGCCCCCTCCCCCTCCGCGCCGCGCATGGACACGCGGTTCGCGATCACGTTCGGGTCCGTCTCCATGATGATCCCGCCGTCCACGAGCTCGTCGATCGTGAGCATGACGAGATCTAAGTTCTCCAGCGCGGTCCTCTTCTCCACGACGCCGCGGAGGAGCAGGCTCACGGCGTCGAAGAACGCGTTCAGAACCATCGCGATGATGAGCTCGTTCTCTTCGTCGCACGCGGTGACGTAAAAGTGCAGATCCGCCGCGAACTTGTAGCACACGAGGTGTTCGCCGAACAGCGCCATCTCCGCGTCTCCGCGCGCGTTGTTCGCTCGCGTCTTGCTGAAGACCATCTTCTCGTACGCGAGCTGCTTCTCTAGCGAGGTCATCTTGGGGTCGTAGTACTTGGTGCTCACGCGCTTGCCGTCCGCGTCGAGGAGGAGGACGTTGAGCATCCGCGGCATCTCGAGGGAGATGCCCATGGCGACCGATACGACGGGGGAGGCGGAGCGGAGCGGACGGCGCCTCGTGCCCTAAATTTATGATCGCGGTCGTCGTTCGAACGACAGAAACTTCGTCACAGAAGAGAAGTCCGACGCGATGAAGCGACGGCGGAGACGGACGCGCGCGATGTCGCTCGTCGCGCGGTGCGCGTCGACGGCGGCCGCGTCGACCGCGGCGGCGAACGAGGCGCGTCGTCGTCCTCCTCCGCGGCGTCCGAGCGTCCGCCGCCGCGACGTCCTGCTCGCGACGACGACGACGACGACGACGCTTCTCGTTGGGACGACCGCGGCGTCGGAGCCGTCGGCCGTCGCCCTCGCGTCCTCCGACCGCCGCCCCGGGCCGGAGTTCTCGGACGTCGCGTTCCCGCGATACCCCGGGTTCGTGACCCTGCCGTCGGGAGCGCAGACGCGCGACCTGTGCGTCGGCGACGGCGACGTGGTCCTAGGACTCGCGTCGTCGTCGTCGTCGTCGTCGACGGACGACGACGCGCTCGTCGCGACGATCGAGTGGGGGGCGTGGACCGTGCACCAGGGCCGACTCGTCGTCCCCTTGCTCCCGCCGTCCCCGGGCGCCTTAGGGTTCACGCCCGAGCGACTGACGTTCCACCTCGCGACGCGTTTCGGCGGCGAGGTCATCCCCGCGATCCGAGACGCGGTCGCGGGAATGCGCGTCGGCGGCGTCAGACGCGTCCTCGTCCCGCCGACGGCGTCGGCGTCCTACCCGTACGTCCCTCTGACGGCCTATTCGACAGCCGGCGGTCCATCTTCGCCCACGCTGACGAAGTACGGCCGCGCGCCGCTGTACCCCACGGAGTTGGGCGCGCAGTCGACGCGCGCGGGGGAGGGGCCGACGCCGTCCGAGCCCGCGGCGTCGGCGTGGATGGAGTACGTGTTGACGAGAAACGCGTTCACGATCAAGCCGACGGACCGGTCGATGCTGTTCGACGTGCGCTTGGTCTCTGTTGTCTCCACCGCGGAGACGAAGACGACGGGGGGAAGATCGAGATTGAGATCGACGGTCGGGTATTCGTGCCGAGCGGCGACCGCGGAGGACCAGCCCGGGGTGGTGAACGAGAAGGGCGGCGACGGAGGCGCGTCGTATTGGACCGCGGCGTTGCCGACCGGCGGGGATTACGTCCGACACGCCGAAGGGCTCGTCCGACAATATTCCGACAATTTCCGCGCCGAACAGATGACCGAATAGGGGTACAGTAGTCTAGCGGTACGATAGAGAGCTGGCACGATACAGGAGCCGAAGAGCGCGATGCCGGCGCGCCGGTCTGTTCGTGAGGGTTCGCTCGCGCGCGTCGTTCGTCGATTGCAAAACTCTTCGTCGCGTACGCAGCGCGTGCTACTGTATGCCGCGAGTGGTCGGTCGAGCGCCGCGTCACCGCGTCGACTTCGACTTGTCGAGCTTCGCGTCCGCGCCGCCGCCCAAACCGCCGCCGCCCCGCGCTTCCTTCGCCGACTGCGCCTTCGCGATCTGCTTCTCCTTCTCCGCGATCTCAAACTTGACCTTCTCCCGCGCCTCTCTCGCCTCCGTTCGCCGACGCTCCACGTCCGCGGCGAGCTCCTCCTCCATGCGCGCCTTGTCCTCCCTCGCCTTCGCCTTGGCCTCCGCGGGGTCGTCCATCTCCTTCTTGTACTCCTTCTTCTTCTCCTTGTACCGCCGTTCGAGCTCCTTCTCGCGCGCTTTCTCCCGCTGCCGCGCCGTCGTCTCGACCGGGGACTGCAACGACCGCTCTTGAATCTCGAGCGACGCAACCTCGCCTTTGATCTCCGCCACCGTCGCCGTCGTCGGCGACATCATGCCCTTCGCGTCCCGAGGGGGTCCTTCTGGCGCCGCCGCGGTCGCACCAGTCGCTTTCGGCGCTGCTGGGCCGCCTTTCTTCGGCTTGATCGGGAACGGCGACGTGCACTGATCGTCGGAGATGGCTTCCGCCTCCGCCGCTCTCCGCGCGCGTTCCCTCGCCGCGCGCTGCTCGCCGCGGTAGTACTCCAACGCCGCGGCGCCGCCGAGGACGGTGAACAGACCGCCGACCGCGGACATCACCCCCGCGGTGCCGTCGTCGTCCTTCGGGTCTTTCGGGTTCTTCCGCCGCGCCGGCGCGGCGGCGGCGGCGGCGGCGGCGGCGGCTTCTTTTTCCTTTTGTTTCTTCATCTTCTTCTTGGACGCAGGCTTCGCGCGCACCGCGAGCGGCTGACGGCTCTTCGCGCCGTAGTACAACGCCGGCGCCGCGGCGAGTAACACCACGGGCGCGATCCCGGGGGAGTACTCCAAGTTCTTCGCGTCCACGATGGACGGACGCCTCGCGCTCGAGGGCGCCTTCCCCTTTATTTTCATCGACCCGCCCCCTCGGCTCGGCGCCGCCGTCCGCCCCGCGGCGGCGCCGCCGCCGCCGCCTCCCGCGGCCGCGTTCGTCGCCGCCCTCTGGTTCCCCGACATCTTCGCGCCGCGCATCGCGTCCGCGCGCAACCGCGCCGCGGACGCCCCCGGCTGCCGCGCGCCACCACCCGTCCCCCGCGCCGCCGTCGCGCCAGCTGTACTTCCGCCGCGCCCAGTCGCCAGGTTATACAACCGCTGTTGCAGCGCGTTGCTCACCGGCCCCGCGTTCGCGCGCGCGCTACCACCGCGCACCGCGACCGGTCCGCCCCCGCCCGTCGGCGGCGCTCGCCCGTTGCGGATCGTGAACGGGTTCAGCTTGCTCGCGGCGGCGGCGTCGAACCCGCCGCGCGCCGCCGCATTCGCCGTCGGCGTCGGCCCGGGGACATCCGCGCGCAGCGCGCTCGCGTAATTATACGGCCACCGCCCGACCGGCCGGTACTCGTTCGGCGCCGGCTTGTACTGCGAGAACGTGTTCGCGAGCCGCGGCGCAGGGCTGTTCTGGATGTTCCCCGCTCGCGGCGGCGGCCCCGACGACGCGACGGGCGCCTTGAACGGCCAGTTCGCCGCGGGCGCTTTCGAAATCTCCGCGGCGGGCGTCCTCCCACCCGCCGGCGCGTCGCTCGCGCCCTTGAGGCTCATCCCGAGCTTGTCGAACGCCCTCTGCCCGGCCATCGGGTTCGAGGTGGACGCGCCGGGCTCCCTGAACGACCGCAGGGACTCCACCGGGTCGAGCTTGTATCGGCCGCCCGGAACGCGATCTTGTCCCGAGGCGTTGCCCGTCTCGAACCTCAGCGAGCGCGACGCGCGCGATCCCCGCTGGCCGTTCGAGGACGGGTCCCCGGGCTTGATCTTTCCCGGGGATCGCCCCAGGTTTTTCCCGCCGCCGTTGTTCGGCGGGAACGGGAACGCGCCCGCGCCGCCGGCGAACGACATCGCGGCGACGACGATTCGAGACTACTGATTAATCCTCCTCTCGGCTCAAATATCTTATTCGCGCAAGATGCGCGCGCGTCCTCGCGCGACGTCGCCCTCGACCGCTCTCGAGCGCGCGGGAGTTCGACCGTTCGCGCGTCTCGCGGCGATCGACGCCCTCGCGGTATCGCCCCGGGTTCGCGCGTCGCGGTGTGACCCGCGCGGAATCGCCGCGTTCCGAAGGAAGGATTCGTTCGTTCTTCGTGACGCAAGCGACAAACGGCTCACGAGCGCCTCTCGTTCCGCGCGGACAGTTTCACCGAAGACGTCGGGTCGCGGTCGTCACTTGAACGGCGTCGTCGGTTAATTTTGAAACCGCCGGGGCTTTCGTTTGAACCTGCGTGTCCACACCGTGAATAAACCCTCAAATTTCGCCGTATCCCGACAGCACCCCGAAAGCACACCGAAAAGACCCCCGAAAGCCCGAATTAACTCATTTACCCGACCACCGAGTAGCCGGGAGTTGGGCATATTAAATGCCCATACGAAAATCTGTACGGAGTAGTCGGGAGTTGCGCGCGGCGGTCGGGAAAAAATGCCGGCACCGCCGGCAGCCGCGCGCTTCATCCAACAGTTCGTCCCCGCGCGTCGCGCTTCCGCGGCGGCGCCCGCCCGCGCGCGCCAAATTCGATGGAGGACTGCTGCGTGGTATGCGCGGAGCCGCTGACGTTCGTCGCGTACGGCCCGTGCGGCCACCGCGACGCGTGCGTCGAGTGCGTCGCGCGCCTGCGTCTCGTGATGGAGGACAAGCGGTGCGTGATCTGCCAGCGCGAGAGCGACGTCGTGTTCGTCACGCGCGCGATGGGGGACTACACCGAGACGATCCCCGCGGAGCGATTCGACGGTCTGCGACGCCGCGCGGACGACGGCGAGCTCGAGAGGGACGCGGTGCTCGGGATGTTCTTCGACGACCGCGCGACGTGCGCGAAGATCCGCGAGCTCCGGGGGCTGCGCTGTCGCGCGTGCGGCGACGCGAGCGCGGAGCACGGATCGCTGAAGGCGCTCAGGGCGCACCTGCGCGAGGCGCACGGTCTGCACCACTGCGAGGTGTGCCTGGAAGGCCGCAAGGTGTTCGTGAGCCAGCAGCTCCTGTACACGAAGCAGCAGCTGGACAAGCACAAGTACGGCGGCGTCGCGGACAAGGACAACGCGTTCGGTCGCGACGGGTTCACGGGACACCCGTCGTGCAAGTTTTGCAAAAAGTTTTTCTACGACGAGGGGCAGATCTTCCATCACATGCAGAGCGCGCACGAGACGTGCCACCTGTGTCGAAGAGCGCGGCCGGACGCGTACGTGTACTACCGAGACTACGACGAGCTCGAGCGGCATCACAGGAAAGAGCACCACGCGTGTCTGCACCCGGACTGCCTCGCGAAAAAGTTTATCGTCTTCGTGTCGGCCAACGAGCTCAAAAACCACGAGGGCGTGGAGCACGGGCACGCCATGACGAAAGCGGAGCGAAAGGAAGCGCTGCGGCTCAACGACCTCGGGTTCACGGTCGGCGCGAGCGGCGGCGGCGGCGGCGGCGGCGTGCCCCGATCGAGCGAGATCGAACGCGCGAGGCGAGCGGCGAGGGCGAGGGCGGCGGCGGCGCTGCCGACGGCGTCCGCGGCGGAGGCGGCGCAGATCGAGGCGGCGCTGCGCGCTTCCACTCTTCATGGCGGGTCCCGCGAGTCGACCTCTAATGGTGGAAGCTCCTCCTCGATGCCGCGGACGAACAGCATCGAGGAGTTCCCCGGTCTGGGCCCCGGAGGGGGAGGAGGAGGCGGCGGAATAGGCGGCGGGATGATGCGCGGCGGGTGGGCTGGTCGAGGTGAGACTGCTTCCCATACGACCCCGTTCGCGTGGTGCACGCCGATCCTTAAGGACTTTTCCCGTCGTCACTCTTCACCCGCGCTTCCCTTTCAACGTTTGACCGGTAAGACCTTCGACTGACCGATCGCTTCACCCACGCAGGCGGCGGGAGTCGCGGCGGGAGCCGGTCGTCCTCCCCCGCGTTCGGCGCGAATGCGCACTCGCGCGGCGGCAGCGTCGGCGGGCCGGAGGATTTCCCTTCCTTGGGAGGCGGCGGTTTTAGGAGCGACGCGCCGCTGGGACGAAGGCAGCCGGCGCCGATGCCGTCCGCGGCGACGGACGCGTTGGCGGCGGCTCGGACGCGCGACGGCGCTTCGTTCGCCGCGGCGTCCGCGTCTATCGGTCGACCCGCGGCGTCGTCGAGCGCTGCCGCCGCCGCCGCCGCGCCGGCGGCGGCCCTCGCGGTGGAGAACTTTCCGTCGCTCGGCGGCGGGGGGCGGGGCGGGGGGCGCGGCGGCGGCGGGCAGTGGTCGCGGGGACGGGGACAACCGCCGCCGGGTGCGGCGGCGGCGGCGGCGCGTCCGCGGGACAAACCGCCGAGTAAAAAGGCGCTCCGCGTCGCCGCCGCGAGCGAGGCCGAGGAAGCGGCGCGACTCGCGTCGCTCGCGGCGAGGAGCGACGCGCTCGTGGCGCGCGTCCGCGAGCTCCTCGGCGGCGACGACGCCGCGTTCCAAACGTTCGCGAGGCACAGCTCGGCGTACAGAGACGGCTCCGCGACGGCGGCGACGTACTTGGCGAAGGTGGTCGCGATGGGGTTGGACGCGGCGTGCGTGGATGAGCTCGCGGCGCTGATGCCTGACGATGAGAAGCGGAGCGCGCTGCAGAGGGCGGTCGCGGCGGCGGAGAGGGCGAGGAATAGGAGCGTCGGAGGCGGCGGAAGCGGTGGCGGCGGCGGCGGCGGAGGCGGCGCGTCCGTGGACCGGGCGGCGGCGTTATTGTTCGGCGGCGGCGGCGGCGGCGGCGGCGGAGGCGGAGGCGCGAGCGAGTGGGATTGCGCGTCGTGCACGTTCCGGAACCCAGCCTCGAACGCGCGGTGCGACGTGTGCGATTCGCCGAAGATCGCCAGCGCTGGCGGCGGCGGCGGCGGGAGCGGAGGGTTGTCGGCCGGGGGCGCCGCCGCCGCGACGGCGACGGCGACGGCGACGGCGACGGCGAACGGACACCCCCCCGGACCCGGAGGGGGAAAGAAGAAGGGCCGCAAGGGCAGGGGGACGACGATCAGCTTGACCGCGGTCGGCGGCGCCGGTGGGTTCGAGCTGGACGAGATGATGAACCCCAACGGGCGAAAGAACGCGTGGGGGTAGCGATGTGGCGACGTCGTAACGCGACTAGAGCGCGGTAGTGTCGGTTGAGCGCGACTCCTAAACTCCTGTCGTTTTCGACAGACTGCGACTGGAAGCCATTTGCAAGTTCCCCCGCGTGTCGGCACGCCCGGCCGCAGTGCCATCGCGCGCGTCCGCGACCGCTCGTCCGCGCGCGTTCGTTTCTTTTCGTCCGCGTCGTTCGCGCGCGTCGACGTCGCCGCGGCGCGATACGATACCCGCGCGCGGTCGCGTCGTGAACGTCGACGTCGTCGCGACCCGCCCGCGCGCGCGTCGGCTCTCGGATCTCGTCTCGGAGCGTTCGGTTTCTTCCGGAAGAAAATAAAAGAACCCCCCCGGTCCGGCTGCCCCGCGATGGCCGCGCGGATGGACCCCGAGAGCGTCATCCTCGAGGAGGAGATCGACGAGAACTACGAGCCGTCCGAAGAAGGTGCGCGCGGGCGATCGCGACGCTCGACGAAGACGCGCGGTCCCCGCGTCGCGTCGACCGCGCGTCCGTCCGATGGACGCCCCCCGTCCGCCCGTCGTCCCCTCGCGAGACGCGCTTCTCTTTCCCCTCCACCTGACCGCGACACCTCCCCGTCTCCGACGCTTCGCCGCGCTTCGCAGAGATCATCGACTACGCGAAATGGCTCGGCATGGACCTCGACGCGGAGAGCGACCTGATGTGGATCGCGAAGGAGGGCCTGAAAGCGCCGCTGCCGGAGCACTGGAAGCCGTGCAAGTCCCCGACCGGGGACATCTATTACTTCAACTTTCAATCCGGCGAGAGCGTGTGGGATCACCCGTGCGACGAGTACTACAAGAAGCTGTACGCCACGGAGAAGGCGAACGCGGCGAAAAGGCGCGAGGAGCGCGCGCGGCCGCAGTCCGCGCGGCCGGCCGCGCCGGTGAGGACCGCGCCGGAGCCGACGCCGACGAACGCCGCCGTCGCGAGTCGACCGGCGTCCGCGGGCGCGGCGTCGGGGCCCGGGGCCTTGGGCTCCCTCGGCGGCGGGCTCAACAAGCCGAAGCTCCAGCTCGCGTCGCTCGCGCCGATGGGCGGCATCGCCGGCGTAAGCGGCGACCGCCCGACGACGTCCGCCGGCCGCCCCGGGCCGCTCGGCGGCTCGCTTCCGGGGTCGCCGTCCAAATCGTCGTCCAAATCGTCCGCCGCGGGCGCGGGTCTTCTCCCCGTGCTCGGCGCGCTCCCCGGCGCGCTCGCGAGGCCGAGCACCGCGGGGAAGGCGCCGCTGGGCGCGTCCTCCTCCTCCTCTTCCGCCCTCGGTGGCGCGGCGGCGCGAATCGGAAGACCCTCTTCCCCGCCGCTCGACGTCGCGTCGCTCGGCACGTCGAAGATGACCGCCGCGGACGTGTGGCGCCCCGACGAGGACGACGACGACGTCGACGCCAGGGACGCGTACCGCGCGAAGCTCACCGCGGAGCGCGAGCGGTGGGAGAAGGAGATGGACGCCGAGGAGGCGGGGTACAAGAAGCGGAGGGAGGACGAGCGCGACGCCGCGCGGAAGAGGCTCGAACGCGAGGACGCCGCGGCGAGGGAAAAGCTAAAAAAGGAGCTCGAGGAAAAGACGTCGGAGATTAAGAGGGACGGCGCGCGACGCCAAGCCGCGGCGCGCGCGGAGGTGGAGTCTGCGATCGCGCGAATAAAGAGAGAGGGCGATGCGTCGACGGCCGCCGCGAAGCGCGCGACGGAGGAGGCGAAGAAGAGGGCGGCGGACGCGGAGAAGAAGCTCGCCGAGGCGGAGGAGAAGCTCCGGAGGGCGAAAACGGCGCGCGACGACGCCGAGGCGAAGCTCGCGGCGAGCGCCGCGGAGACGGCGAAGGCGAACGTCGCGGCGGCGGATGCGGCGGATGCGAAGGCGAAGGCGAAGGCTACGACGACGACGACGACGACGACGACGTCCCCGGGGTCCGCCCAGAAGTCGAAGCGCGTCGAGGAGGAGCGCGCCGAGATGATCGACGCGGAGGTGGCGACCGACCGCGCGGAGGTGGCGGCGTTGAGGGTCGAGCTGGAGAGGCAGAAGAAGGAGCTGCGGGAAGTGACGAGGGACACGGAGCGACAGATCGCGGCGGCGAATGCGACGGCGGCGATGCCCGCGGCGGCGATGCCCGCGGCGCCCGCCGTCTCCGCCGTCGAGGCTGTCGCCGCGACGGCGACGCGCGATCGCGACGCCGCCGCTGCCGACGCCGACGCCGACGACGACGCGATGTCGTGCGGAAACTTCGAGTCCGTGGGCGACCCGGACGAGACGCGCGCGCCGCTCAGCGAAGAAGACTTCGACGCGGAGACGTCCCCGACGGCGTTGTGCGTCGCCGCGGCCGTGCGCGACGGCGACGACGCCGAAGTGCTCAAGTACGCGCGCGCGTTTTTGTCTGACGTTTCAAAGACGTCCAAACGCCGCGCCGCGGACCTGGCGCGGTTCCGCGGCGACTGGCGCGCGGCGAGGCGCGCGCTCACTGCGGGTCCCCCCGCGGACGACGAGGAAGTAGTAGCGAAGAAGCGCGCCGTCGTCGACGCCGTGCGCGCGGCGCTGGACGCGGCGACGCGGCACTTCAACTACGACCAGCGGAACTTGCGGGCGATCGCGATCGCGACGAGAACCGTCGCCTCCGGCGCGCGAATCGACGTCGCCTTCTCGTCCACGATTCTCGCGTCGAACGACTACGACGTCCGCGCGGGCGCGTTCGGGCCGAAGGAGGCGTTCGCGCGTCTCGAGCCCGCGCCCGGGGCGAAGGGGCTCACCGAGGAGGAGCTCGCCGCCGCGACCGCGCGCGCGTCGAAGATCTTCTCAACCGCCAAGGCTGAGGAAATCGCGACGGCGTTGAGAGACGCTTTGGCGTCCGCGAATGGCGCGAACGAGGCGGGAGAGGGCGAGGGCGGAGGCGGAGGCGAAGGCGAAGGCGGCGGGAAAGTCCTCGCGGCGTTCGACCGCCTCGCCGAGAATCAAAAGCACGTCACGGCGCTCCTCGACGAGCAGATCGAGTGGTTCGGGTCGTTCGGGAGGCGGCTCGACGAAGTTTGCGAGGAGGAAATCGTCGAGGAGGAGTGGGACGCGGAGAAGTGGAAGCTGCCGCCGATGCCGACGTTCGAAGACGTGCCGTCGTTCGAGATCGAGGCCGCGTGAGGAGATGTTAATCATTAATTAAGGGGCTGCGAACCGTGGTATCATAGGGGAGGGATCATAACGACAGGAATAGAACGAGGAGACGACGACGATGTAATAAGGTGTACCTTCGTACCTTCGTATGAGATGGACAGATTATATAATTCTCACGAACCGCGCGCCTCGCCGTCGTCCCCCCCCGTCCCCTCGCGCCGCACGCTCTCGATCGCCGCCGCGACGACGTCCCGCATCGCGAACTCGCCAACCTCCACCGCGAGCGCGACGTGCAACCCCACCTGCGCGAGCAGCTTCCCGAGCGCGTCGACGCGAACTTCGGCGGGCGCGTCTGATGCGGCGGCGGCGACCGCGTTCATCGCCGCGGATCGCAACGCGTCCACGGCGACGTCCTCGGCGTGGTCCGGGACGCTCCACACGCACTCCAAGTCGATGCACTCGTCGAAGTCGAACGAGTCGAAGGCTTCGTCGAACGACCCGGAAGACGAAGAGACGTCGTCCGGATCCTCCAGATCCGGATCGTCGCCGGCGTCCGCGCCGTCCGCCGCGGCGGAATCCGCGAGCCAGCCCCCGTCGACGCCGACGCCGCCGCCGCCGCCGCCCGTCCTCTTCTTCACGATGACGTCTAGCAGCGACTCCATCCCGGCGCCATTAACGCCATTAACGCCGCCGATCGCGGGGATGTACGCGCTCGTCAGGATGTCGATGTGTTCGCTCCGGTCCAAATCGCACAGCTGGAGCGTCTCCACGATCTCGTCGTCGCATCCGGCGGCGTGGACCAACGTCACGGGCGTCTCCTCCGGGTATTGGTTCATCAACGTGAGCTTAACGTCCGACGCGAGAGCGTTACTGTACAGCTGGCACAGCAACACCGGCGCGTCGCCGCTGATGCCTATCGCGTATCCGCTCACGGCGGCGTCGATCGCGTCGACGACCGCGAGCGACGGGAGCAGGTCGGCTTGAACCGCCGCGAGCGTCGGCTCGAGGAAGGACACCCCCGGGATCAGTCTCACGGACACGCCGCGCGCGGGCGCGGCCGCGCGGAGGATGTTCACGCTGTTCTCCGCGACGCACGGGTCCCCGGGGACGGCGTACACGATCGCCCGCGACGACGACGACGACGACGACGACGACGAAGCGTCCGCGGCGTCCGCGGCCTCCTCGTCCACCTCCGACGCGCGCTCCACGGCGCGATCGATGAGCTCCTTCACGATGGTGGGATACACGTCCTCAAGCTTCTTCGTGCGCTCGTACACGTGGGCGAACGTCCGCAGCGCGACGTGCGCTGGGAGTCCGCTCAGCGTCGGGTGCTTCGCGGTCCTGACGTGCACGAGCGCGCCGTCCGCCGTGAGCGCGGACCACGCCTCGAGGGTGATCTGCGCCGGATTCCCGGGGCCGAGGCCGACGACGATAATCTCGCCTTTATTCATCGGTCTGCTCATGCTCGCGCTCGACGGCGTCGTGGGGGGCGACGCGCGCGCGATGGACGCGCGATGATGCCCCGCGACAGGATCGCGCGAGGCGTCGCGCCGCCATCGCGCGCGCGCGCGAGGCGCGACGCCGTGGACCGCCGCCGACGCCGTGGCCATCGTCGACGCGCGCGGCGGCGTGTCGCGACGCGATTACGATTATTTCCGATACGACTTCATCCAGTCATCATGACGAAAACTAACATTCGGTGTCGCGCCGCGTCATCCGTCCATCCATCCATCCGTCCGTCCGTCACGCGTCTTCGTCGTCCTCTTCTCCGCCCTCCTCGCCCTCCTCACCCCCGCTCCCCTCCCTCTTCACGTCCCTCTTCATGTCCATCACCACCGTCTCCCCTCGCCCCCCCCCGCCGCCGCCTCCGCCGTCCTCCGCGTCTCGCCGCAACTTCTCCAACGCCTCCGCGCGTCGCGTCTCCTCCCTGACCCTGTTCTCCTCCTTCTTCGCGTTCAGCTCGGGGAGGTACTCCGCGAGGTACTCCTTCCGCGACCGCTCGATCTGCTCGAACAGACCCTCCATGCCCTCCCCGGTCATCGCGCTCACGCCCGCGACGCGCAGGTGTTTGTAGAACTCGTCGAGCACGAGCGACATGGACCGCGAGAGATCTGACGCGAAGGTCGGGTTCTCGTCGAGCACCGCGTGAAACTTTTCGAAATCCGTCATCCACTCCGCCTGCGTCTCGTGCCGCACGACGTCGATCTTGTTGAACACCAGCACCATCGGCAGCCTGAATTTGTACAGGATGCTGACCGCCTGTAACATGTTGGACATGAAGCACTGCGGGTCCTGCGACCGCACGGTGTCCATCACGTAGAGGATGCACGTGGGGAACGCCGACGCAAACGTCTCGGAGACGATGGCGCCGCTCGCGCTGCGTTTTGAGTGATGCGATTGGTTAGTTTTTTTATGACGTGGACGTTTGAGTGGACGAGGGCGACGGAGAGGTCGGGCGCCGAGAAAGACCTCGAGAAAGATCGAGAGAAAGACCTCGTCGCGGTCGCGGCGCACCTCCACGTGAAGATCTCGATCTGCCCGGGCGTGTCCACGAAAATATGATCGATCTCTTTCGCCCTCCGCTCGCACAGGTTCACGACCTGGTCGAACCGCGTCGCGAACAGGTTCGCCGCGGTCAAGATCGCGCCGTTCGGCCCGAGGTTATACTCTTTCATCACCGCCTTGTAGTTCACCGTGTCGCGGATGTCCACGTTGGCGTCGTACGGGAGGTTAGTCACCGCGGGGTCTAGATTGATGACGTACGGCGGCGCCTCGCGCGAATGCAGGTAGGCATTCACGCGCTGCATGAGCGACGTCTTCCCGCACCCGGCCATGCCGATGACGAGGCAGACGGACGGCATCTCTTCGGGCGGGGGCACCTCCTCGGGGGGCAGGCGGCCGTAGGACGCGGCGGGAGGGGCCATCCCCGCGGTGGGGTTCTTACTCATCGGGTCCCCCGGGCACGGGGCGCACGGCTCGTCGGGCTCGTTCTCGCGCGGCTCAGCGCCGGGCGCCGCCGACGCGTCCGCGCCTTTCGCCGCGCGCTCCTCGGCGAGCTTCGCCGCCTTCTTCTTCGCGAGCTCGGCTTTCATCGCCGCCGCCGCGGGCGTGTCGGGGAAGAAACCGGGCTTCATCTCGGCGTGCGGTGCGGCGCGCGCCTTGGCGACTGCGGCGGACGGGGGATCTCGAATCGATGATCGATCGCCCCCGTCGCTCGAGTCGTTCAACGACGAGTGATGCGAGTCAACGAACGCGACGGTGCCGAATCTGAGGCACCCACACGCGCCCCGCGCGCGGCGCGCGCGCTGTCATGGCCGCCGCGGGCCCGTCCGAGGACGCGGACGAGGACGAAGACGCGAGACTAATCCTCCTCGATTCCTCGATGGACGACGACGCGGCCGCGGCGTCCCTCCGATCAGCAGACGCCGAGGCGGTCGTCCGATCGGAGGAGGCGGACGCCCCGGACGCGCGCCTCACGCGCGCGCTCGTCGCGTCGCGATGCCTCCCACCGGCGTTCCTCGACGACGCGGACGACGATGACGTCGCCGCCGCGGTCGACGCGCTGACGCACGTCCACCTCGACCGCGCGCGCATCGCGTCGCTGCTGGACGAAGCCGACGACGGCGTCGGGCCGAGTCGCGCGCTGCCGCTTCGCGCGGCGCCGTCGTTCGCGCTCGTCGCGTCGCTGCACTTGCAGCGGAACCGGCTGACAACAACGCGCGGGATCGACGATACACGCACGCCGGTCCTGCGTTTCTTGACCCTGGAAGGGAACGACCTGATTGACCTCGACGGGCTCCGCACTCTGCGGCGCCTCATGTTCTTGGACGTGTCGAACAACGCGCGCTTGGACGCGTCGGAGGCGGTGCTGCTCGCCACGCCGGCGTCGACGCGGTTTTTGAAGACGGCGGGGTGCGCTTCATCTTCATACACTGGTTCCCATACGATCCCGTTCGCGTGGTGGACGTCGATCCTTAAGGACTTGACGTCTCCCCCGTCGTCGCGCTATCACTCTTCATTCACCCGCGCGTTCCTTTCGATGACGTCGTTCGTTTGACCGGCGACTGACCGGCGACTGACCCACCGTTCACCCAGGTGTCGAAACGCGGCGCGCGACGACGCGTCGACCCGCGCGGCGCTCGTCGCGACGTTGCCGTCGCTGCGGGAGCTGGACGACGTCGTCGTGAGCGCGCGCGAGCGGCGGGAAGCGAAGGCGACGTTCGGGGAGGAAGACAGCGACGACGCGGACGACGACGACGACGAAGACGCGGCGGCGGCGGACGACGACGACGGCGGCGACGTCGCGGCGGCGGCGGACCGACTCGGGCGACTGGCGGTCGGCGACGACGGCCGCGCCGCCGCCGCCGCCGCCGCCGCCGCCGTGCTCGCGCCCTCGGGGTCTTCTGCGACGGCGGCGTCGGAGGACGACGACGCGTCCGTCGAACGCCTGAGGGCGCTCGCGAGGACGCTCGCGGACCCCTCGCTGAGCGCCGTCGGCGCGAGGGACGCGGCGACGGCGGCGACGACGATCGACGCGACGCGAGCGCTGCGCGCGGCGAAGGACTCGGCGTCCGCGCGCGGGCTGACGCGCGCGGACGAGACGAGGGACGGCGAGATCGACGTGGACGCGAGGGTGAGGCAGGGCGCGCGGAGGCACGGGGCGTCGCTGCGAGAGGCGAACGCGCTGCGAGGGAGAGACTGACGACGTCTGACGGAGACGTTTTTCTTCTGTTCTGCTCGCTCGTCGCAAAAATGCGTTGTTAGTAGACTTTTAACTAGTAGATT